CGTGAATGGCCTTCACAAGGTACCACGCAGCAACGGCAGACCTCCCAGCGGCGTGGCTCCCCTCAACCAGAGGCGGGGGCGGTGCGGGCGGGTAGCCTGTTTGCTTTTAGGTTCCCCAACAAAAAAAAGGGAGGCCAGCCCGTGACGCAGGCTCCTTGTGGCACCCGACCCCCAATCGCACCTCTGAGGCCGCCCAAGCGCATTTGCACAGCTGCGCCCGGCGGCTGTGGTGTCAGGCCCTGCACTGAGGCGCCCAAAAGACACTCATCCAAGACGGCGCCGGTGCCGTGGCACGTGTCCTCCACAGACTTGGCAACTGCGAGATGCATGGGCGGCAGCTGTGCGTGGCCAAACAGCCGGGGGCTCGCGAAGAGGAGGGGCCCAAGCCCACAGAGCGTTTGACGTCAGCCGGCCCTGTTGCCGCCGCATCCGTCACGATGGACCCCCGAAGCAGAAAACAAAAGCAAAAGGCGTATAGGGCAGGTGGTCTCACAAAACGGTGTACATTACCCGCAGGGGCGGATGCATCTGCCTCATCTCCCACTGGACGTCCGCAGGCACAAACATCGTTTACATTTCATTGGGAGCTTCACCGTCTCGCTGCTGCTCCCTCGCTGAAACCCACACACACACACAGTTTACCTTCACCGCAAACAACTCCGAAGCCCGCACCTCCGCAAGGAGGAGTTTACCCCCAACTGCCCCGCTGCCCCTGCAAAAACACAAAAACAAAAAAGCCCCGCACAATAAAGCGAGGCGGCCCCCTCCCGCACGCACTCCTTCAGTCGGGAAAAGAGGAGGAGGAGGAGGAGGGCGGCGCCAACGTGCCCACAGCTCCAGGCTGCTCGCCCGGTGCCTGCTGCCCAAACAACGCACGGAGCAGGCGCGCACACGCCCAGGATGGCAACTCATCAAGAGACAGAAGCGTCAAACATCGTTTGCTCGAGGCCCTCAGAGACGAATTCGGCTGCACCCACTGCGGCGGCACACCAGCCGGAACGACGCTATGCACGAAAAGAAAAAAAGCGAGGTAAACAATGCACAAACGCAAAAAAAAAAAAGAACAGCATAAATTCGGTTTGCCCCACGACTTATGGGAGGTGCTGGGCACCAAGCCATTGCTTTTCATTGCTGGTAAACTCTCACTCAGCCTGTGAAAGCACACCCTTTCTTTGCCCAAACTTTCCCTCCCTACAAACAGCGATAAACGAAGAAACAGAGAGGATATTATTTATGAAATATTGCTGGCACACACCCACAAACTGCAATCATTTCAGTTGCAACCTCGGACACACACTCAAACAAAAAAGAAGGTGCTGCTCCAATGTCACTGGCCATAATGATTCTATAGCGCAAAGCAGAGCGATTCCCTAATTATTGTCTCCCTATTCACACACAAACAAGCAACAATGCTCAAAGTATTTCCTTAAAAAGCATTTCGATAGAAAAACACTCCGATACATTCCCCCCGCAAGTCACCTCAAATTTGTATTGCATCCCCCAGCTGCCGCCTTCTTAAAACATTGTCGATATTTTTGAAATCTTCGTCTGATACCGCCACCTGGTACTGATACACCTTTTCTTCCCAGAATTCCGCAATTTTCTTGTTTTCATTCTCCCCCGGGTTCGCGGAATTGCCGCACCGCTGCCATGTGTTTATTATTTCACTGCCTCGACTTTGCACGTCAAAACTCTCCCACGACAAGCCTTCGGCAAAAGTGTCCCAAGCAGTAAAATACCCCGCCGTGTGCTCATTGAACAGCTTCAGGTTGCTGGCGGTGGTGTCATGCGCCTTCGCCGCTGCAAACTGCAGCCCAACCATCTTCCTTCCCGACGGTGACGCCACAAAGAAGAAGGCGTCCACCAGCGGAAAGTTTGGGATCCTCGGTCTGTACAGCGCCCCGCAGTTTACGTCAATCGTCTCAGTCCTAGAGCTCTTCGCCTCCAAGCTGAACGTCACCTTGGGGTGCAACCCAGGATTTGTTGCCAAAACGCAGTCTTTTGTCTCGCGCTGTGTTGATGGCCGAAGCTCCTTGAGATTCCCTACTACTGCATCGACAAAGGCCCTCTCCGTGAGTGCGGTCAGAATACATTTTTCCAGAAATGTCGAGAGAACGTTCCTCCAAGAGTCCAATGCCAGCAAACAAAAATCTTTCTTCTTCATTGCCGCCTGCAAACAGTCCGCTGATAGGCACCCGAGGCGATAGCATGCCACTGCGCTGAAAAACATCTCACCACCCTCGACGTGTTCTCGCACAACTTTCACAATTTCGTTGAACGGATTGTCAGTATGCCATATTCTCCCTCCGCTCCCGACAAAGTACTCTTCAACATCCGAAGCCCTGAGCGCTCGCAAAACAGACCGAACCTCCCCACAGTGCCGCGAGAAGCCCCTCTCGTTGAAGATGTATTGTGGAATTGGCCCCACACGATAAATGCGATTTTTGACCGTCTCCCAGTAATTATTTTGCTCCTGCGATGACTGATTGCGCGTCGCCCAGGCACACATCGCCTTCACGTCAAGCTCTTCCGGACAATTCATGACGGTTCGCACGGCACCCTTTTGCTCCTTCCATGATGCGTAGTTATCTTCGTTCGGTGACGACAACACAATGATGCCCCATGTGTCAGAGGGCGGATAATCCCAAGACGGTTCACTGCCTTTTTTATCCACGTCGTAGATAACAAACCCTCTCTTTCCACGCCCAACCAAATCATACAAAAGGTTGGTGACATTGCATGCACTCCCGTGTACTGTCACCGTTTGCTTTTCTTTGTCAAACACGAAGGCCAAATCTCCCCCAAAGCAGTGCACCACCACTTGGAGTTTCGCGGGGTCGTAGTGGAGCAATTTGTAAAGGAGGTACGAGCCAACACTCATCGACTTCCCGATACCCGGTGCCCCAACCAAAACACGCGGCCATATCTCTCGTTTTGATTCTTTAGTGCGAAGCAAGCCGGTCAGCTCGCCTTTGACGTTTTTCCAGACCCGCTCCACCTCACGGTTAATGTAGCAATCTTCAATGTTCTCTTTCTGCCGCAGCGAGTAAGGCCACTTATACTCGGACGAGAGTATCATCAGCCGGGGACGCGGTGGGATAAATTGCTCTGCATCTTCCACCGGAAGAAGAGTAAAGCCATACTGCGTGAAATCCCACAACTGTGCCGGTGGTTGGCCCTCACGCACCTCCATTCGCACCACCATATTATTCCCTTCGCCCTCGGGAAATTCCAAGACGTGACTGCATTTCGCGTTGAACACAGAGGCGTAGAATCCGTCCGGCAACGGTTGTCTGACAATTTCATCTATCCTTTTTGCCCTTTCTTCTTCCCGCCGTTTGTTTTCTTCCTCTTCCCTTCGTGCCCTTTCTTGCTCCACCTGTACTGCCTTTTCGTTTTCCTCCACTACCTTAAGCGCGCCGTCAAGCTTTCCCCATGAAATATTGGAGACGATCTCCCTGTGATCAAATTCTTTCCAGTGTTGAAGACAATGCACCCTGTGCTCAGCAAGCTTGCGTGCGTCCTCCAGGAGCTGGTACGCTGGTACGCTTAGAATGTCCCCGCGAAGGTCCGGGTCCGTGACGTACCTCTCAGGCCTACGCGCAAACACCCCCATTTTTACATTGCGGCCTTCGACCACGAAATCGGGATCAACGTACTTCCTGATGAAGTCGTTTAGCGCCATGCTCCCAATGCCAGGTTATCCCCCCAATAGCACATCGTCGACGCTGGTGGTAAGTGTCCACTGTTGTTTATTTCCCTGCTCCCTCCCTTGGCCCTGTGCGACCTGCGCGCCACCGCCGGACACGCGGCGCGGCGCCATCAGAAGAAACGATGGGTGGAGGACCCCACGCACACCGCCGGCGGGCGGCCAACGGGCACACGCGTCGCCGGCGCACAGTTGCGGCTGCGGAATGCTGCGCACCCCACGCGGCCGCACCGCAGCGGCTCTTGCCGAGACAATTGAGACGCACAGCTTTCGCCGCACTGCAACGTGAAATCGCATAAAACTCCGCCACATTATCGATATTTACTTCACTCAACTGGTGTGTGTGTCTGTGTGTGTTTGCCGTATCAATAGCACTAAAAAAGCGAATTATTCACAGCCACAAAAGAGAAAAAAAAGAGAGATGCACACACGAGAAGCACTTCCCCAACGCCTCCGCAGCCACACAGCGGGAGGACGGACGGCTGCCGGGGCGCAACAGGCCCGGGCAGCAACAACTCACGGCGGCCAGCTGCGCCGGAGGGACGCACACCCGCAGCGGCGGCTCAAACGCGTCGCGTGGGGCGCACCAAGGCAGAACTCCACGGCAGCGGCGGCCACCCCCCGCCTCTGCGCCTCCGCCATGGCGGTGACGGACGAACGGCTCGCGGCCGCACTCCCCTTACACAGACACACGCACGCGCGAGGGGCGAAGAACAAAAATGCCTCGCGCACACGCAGCCGCATCGAGAGGGACGGGGCGGGCCCAAAGCCCGCCGCACAGCCTGCGGCTGCTCTGCAG